CTGCTAATATTATATACTTATGGTTTTGAGAGCCCAAACTTATGCTACTCAGGCAAAAGCTTCTGCAGGTAACATAAAGGATCATAGAAGTGTTCACAGAAACCAACAAATCTTAAAATGTTCCATGTAAAGTGAGAGAATTTGTAGCAAACGATATCAAAATAGAGAGATATAAATGGCAAATAGGTTGCAGATAGCTGAAAGTGTGCTACATAATGGGCAGCAGATAGCTGGGCTAACCTATGTAGGGGATGGTAGATGTTGGGATATCTTGAATAGTGAATGATCAGTGGTCAGGGAATGTTGCTCACATCACAGGATGACACAGATTGGTGTAACTTACCAGAAAAGGTACAAATGTTGATGTGACATCTTGGGTACCAGCTTTGATCAGTTACAGGATAGGAAGGACAGTAGTTATGTGCAACGATGATAGAATTTCACCAACACATCAGGAAAAAGACTGTTATTAGAGGATTTGGTTCTGCAAATTTACTAGGCTGTTTATACCTGGTCCTTTATTACAACACAGACATGCTGCTGGGTTTGACATTTGACCATTGATGGGAGGGAACTACAAAAACTGTGATTTTTTTTTCGGATGAAAGGAAGCTGTGAGCCAGAAGGTGAGGCATCAATCAACTCAAAATTAAACTGGAAATTCCTTGGATCATTTTCAACTTTTTTCTCCTTTTGTTTCCTTCCTGGGTGGGGCCCATCCAACACGCGATGTCCCTCAGGTGGGATCACAGGTGAGCGCCCTGGACCTCAGCTATCAATGTACATCAATCCTGTCTGTTTCTTTGTGTGTTGATTGAGCATTGTTAATGATTCTGAGTACACTAGTAAATGCATTAATACAGTCTGTTAATCAGTAAACTGTAGACGCATTCCATTATAAACCAACGCTCCCAGTTTGTCATATTATAATTGTATGGCTGTTGTTTGGTCATATACGTGAACATTCTGAGCATCGTGCTTGTCAAAGCTTCAAGGGACAGATGTTTGTAGTTGACATTATGTATGGCCAATGTAGCAAGTTTGGGTAGAGCAGGTGACCATTGACTTAGACTTCCCAAACTTTACAATGACTATGGATGGAGACTCAGCAACGAGTCATATCCACAAGTGAGTGCTATCTGTTGGGGTGATCATGGCAATAATGCAACATAGCAGCAGAAGTAGGCTATTCAGCCCATTAAATCTGTTTCACCATTCAAAAAAAAATCACGGCTAATCTGACCATCCTCAAATCCTTGCCAGCCTTTTCCTCCCTTGATGTTTATGAATTAAATTTTCATCTAGTTCATGAATCATGATCAAGGATGGATTTTCTCATGCCTAACATTGAAGTCCGCTTAAGGTATTCTAAACAGCCATCCCGGCTTTGATACCTAACCTTACCACAGAAGCCATTTAACCCACACACACTGTACTTTAAATGGTTTCTTGGAAAATTAATATGTCGCAGGCTGTGGTTTGACTAGAAGTAAATTAATTATGAAATCCTATGCCGTCAAGCAAGGGAAACCCTGATAACAATTCAAACAAAAAACTTAGCCAGTGCCCGTGATGAGAAAATCAGAGTTAACAATTCAGATCATTGATGTTTTTTGACAACTGGAAAAGATGTAACAGGATTGAAGCAAACACTGAGGAGGGAAAAATGAGAAGAAAGCAGAGAAAAAGAGGAAAGGGTCATGTCAGGTCAAAGAACAGGAAAGATTAAACGACAAAAGGGATGGTAAGCTAAGATAGTCATGGAATCAGTAATGTAGTAAGAGATTGGCCTAGAGGATATTTAAATGTGAGTAAAAGAATTGTCAGCAATAACAAACAAACACAAAACAATGATAATTGGCTGCTTTGGGAATGTGAGGGATTTGAACAGGTTATAACTTAATGTCAAGAAGGTAAGCAATCAAGGCATTTAATATCAATGCTCAGGTGGTCAAAGGAACTTGCAGGGAACAATGAGCTTTCAAAAATGTGGCCAATACTGACTAAAACCTATATGCAAGCCCTAAACCTGAGACGCTAGACAGAAAATAGAAACCTGGCTTAAATAAGCTGCTTCTGTTGCAAATCCTACAGGGGAGTGTCATGTAGCATCTATGTTCTTTTTCCCTTTTTTTGTTTTGGAATATTGCATTGAATTCTGGTCTCCCAGCTATAGGAAAGATGTTGTGAAGCTTGAAAGGGTTCAGAAAAGATTTACAAGGATGTTGCAGGGGTGTGAGGTTTTGAGCTACAGCAAGAGGCTAAATAGGCTGAGGCTATTTTCCCTGGAGTGTCAGAGGCTGAAAGGTGACCCTGTAGAGGTTTATAAAATGATGAGGGGCATGAATAGGGTGAATAGCCAAGGTCTTTCTCCCAGGGTATGAGAGTCCAAAACTAGAGGACATAGGTTTAAGGTGAGAAGGGAAAGATTTAAAAGGGACCTAAGGGGCAACTTCTTCACATAGAGGATGGTGCGTGTGTGGGAAGAATAGCCAGAGGAAGTGGCGGAGGCTGATACAATACCATTTAAAAGGCAGCTGGATGGGTATATGAATAGGAAGGGTTTGGAGGGATATGGACCAAATGCAGGCAAATGGGACTAGATTTATTTAGGATATCTTGTTGGCATGGACAAATCGGACCAAAGGGTCTATTTCTGTGCTACACATCTCCATGACTCTTATATACATTCTGCCTATTTCTTCCTCCCCTAATCCCACCATCCTGCTTTGTTTTTGTCTTTCCCTTGATTGAGATTTGTCCATCTCTGACTCTTGTCTATAGTTTTACCAGTAAACTTTCAACACCGCTGCAACTGCTGCATTATCCATTTCTTCAATAAGAGAAAACCAGAATAAAGGTGGGAATTGTTAGATTACCCAAACACAGTCCTTAATATGGATATGTTTGTGCCCAAATTTATTTAATAACAAATTTGGAAAAACTGCAGAGCCTCAAGTGAGCCAGCATGCATTTTTCATAGGCCGCAGGCATCAATCATACAGTGATTTCTAAGAGAGAGCTAGTCAGGAAGGGAGGACCTTTTACATAACCATCGATACACAGTATTGCTATATTGAGGCATGAGGGTGGGAGTTTACAAGTAAACACATGGGACTTTCAACAAGTGCAAGACAGTTAGAAGACATGTGAAAGATAGGATAAAGAGGAACGGGCAAAGGGGCCAGAGCTCTACCTGTAGTAGCATTTGTAGGCTAGTTATCCCTTTTCTATTCTGAAGCCTTTATAGACAGTTTGGTACAATCTGGCGGAAGTCATAATTACTTATTCATAGTCTCCATTTAAGAATTATAGAATCCCTACAGTATGGAATCAGGCCATTCAGCTCATCATGTCCACAACGAACCTCTGAAGGGCATCCCGCACAGAGTCACTCTGTTACCCTATCCCTGTAACCCTGCATTTCCCATGGCTAATCCAACTAGCCTGCTCATCTACTGAACACTATGGACAATTTAGCATGGCCAATCCACTTAACCTGCATGTCTTTAGACTGTGGGAGGAAACCAGACACTCTGAGTAAACACACACAGGCACTGGGAGAGCGTGCAAACTCCACACAGACAGTTGCCTGAGGCTGGAATGGAAACTCAGTCCCAGGTTCTGCATGAAGTATTTTTTTCTCTACAAGGAACTTCCATAATTCGATTGTTTTGGCTCCTGTACCAGCCTGTGACTTCTCTTAACATCTTCAGAGCAGCGCCAAAGTTCAAATTCACACAGAGACTTAAGTGGAGACTTAGCATGTTGTCTATTTCTAGTTAGTTCAACCTTGAATAAAATTTTGTCCTGTCCTGTTCTGTCTTTATTACTTCCATACTGTGACATGGAATTATAAACAGTTTTGCAGTGTTTGAAAAATCGTTAGAAAGTTCTGTCATAACTTACTAATCTAATTTTACATCTGTCTTTAATTTGAGGCTTCTTGATTCTATCGCTTGCCTTTTGATACTTAACCTCTTCATCAGATTGAAAAAATTGACTCTATTCGAGTTGTTACTTTGGAAACATCTGCGCAGCTTCACCTTAAAGTCTAAAGCCCAGCTTGTTTTAACATTCCTCATGGTCCAGGTTTCTCAATCAAGATTGCTAACTATCTAGGGTTAACAATTTGTTACTACTGCATTGCAGCAAGCAAATAACCAGGATGAAAGAAACATCAAAACAAAGAAAGTGTTTCCTAGCCTTTTGTTCATTAAGGATATCAGACAATGGAGAAAAATACAATTGACTGTCAGCAGAGATAATTGAGTAACAAATTTACTTTTTCAGTCGTGTAGGAAGGTAGTGCAGCACGACAATGATAATACTGGGCAACCAATAAGGAGAATCACACGGATGGAGAGCATTAAACACTGCACACCGCACCGCACCACCCCCCAGCTCCCCCACCCCAACCATGTCCCCAGTCAGGTTTGAAGAATTGTCTTGGTTGCTTACCTCCACATCTTATGATCACCTGTGACTAGATGATCTGCCAGATGGAGTTTTGCATCTTAACAAAACACAGCAGAACAACCTCTTTAGAGATTTTTGTTTTGGCTGACCTCTCTGCTGCCGTAACCCTGTGGCCGATTTGGAACTGAGGGTGTTCTGTGTGCCGGATTCTAAAATGGAAACCTCAAATGGAGACCAAATGGACAGCATAGTGCTCAGTGGTTAGCACTGCCACCTCACAGCAACAACCCAGGTTCGATTCTACCCTCAGGTGCCTGTCTGTGTGGAGTTTGCACAATCTGCCCGAGTATGTGTGGGTTTCCTTCGGGTACTCAGGTTTCCTCCCACAGTCCAAAGATGTGCAGGTTAGGTGGATTAATCGTGGGAAATGCAGGATTAGAGGGAATAAGGTTAGTGGGGTTGGTTCTGGATGGATTGCTCTTTAAAGAGTTGGTGCGGATTTGATAGTCTGCTTCCACTCTATAGGGATTCTGTGAAGTTCTATGAATCTGTTGAGATGAACATGTCTCTTTGTTTTGCAGCTGTGCGGAAAATGGGAACGGGCATCGGAATAGTCACCAACGGAAGATCAACCAACAAGAGGAGAGTTGCCAAAATCTCACTGATTTCACCGCTGCACGAGTGCCGAGCAACCTGGATATATTCACTGCATACAACGAGACCCTTCAGTGCTCCCATGAGTGTGTCCGTGCATCAATGCCAGTCTATGCTGACCAAGGCCTACACCCAACCACTGTTTATAAAACCACCTTCAACGGAAACCGGTAAGACTGTCAAATTAACATTAAATGAAAACAATTTAATGACACTACAGGGCACATCTCTCACCTCAGCGGAGCAAGAAAAATACCAGGTAGGCATTGAGTGGTTTAAGTAGCATATTTATAGTGGTGTCAGGATTAGGGAGGTTGGTATTGGATCAATATTAACGTACTTTACCTTTTCCACTAGCATTGTCAAAGTATCAGAAGATAATTCTGTGTTTTGAGACAGATAGACTTGGTAATAAGAACCACCCTACTTCCCTCCCCTGAAAGTGCAGTGAAAGTAATAAGGCTATCTATATGAGAGATAAGCCAAGCCACACTAATTGAATGTTATACAGAGATCAAAAACATCAAGACAATTGTGGCATGAAATTGTTTGGCACAGCAGGAAAACAGCATAAACTACAAACTCTATCAATATCCATAGAAGAAAGAGCTGTATTGTCCATTAGATAAGATTACTACCAAGAAATAGCCAAAACCAATCATTAAATCCTTGTGATATTGATACAACTGTCACTGCTTGGACAAACTTCAACCTCTACATTTCTTTGTATTCCAGGGAGCTGCCCTGTAGTAACTTTCTTTCAAATTATTTGCATAGCCAACTGGCAATTGCATAATCATGTTTGGTCATTTGGGCTTTTCCCACAGTGACATTAGCACTGCCCCGTACAGATTTATATGAATGATTTAAAAGGATAGCTGGACATCTCTAGATATAGTGTGTGAAATGTAGGGACATCTGGTTTCCTGTCATTATAAGAGGCCAACATATAATAAATGTTGCCTATGTTAAGCTGGGCAGCACAGTGGCTCAGTGGTTAGCACTGCTGCCTCACAGCACTGGAGATCTGGGTTTGATTCCACCCTCAGACGACTGTCTGTGTGGAGTTTGCACATTCTTTCTGTGTCTGCATGGATTTTCTCTGAGTGCTCTGGTTTCCTAATGTGCAGGTTAGGTGGATTGACCATATTAAATTCCCCATTGCAGGCTAGGTGGGTTAGCCATGGGAAATGCAAGGTTACAGGGATAGAGTAGAAGGGTGGGTCTGAGCAGGATGCTCTTTGGAGGATCAGTGTGGACTTGATGCACCAAATGGCCTGCTTCCACCCTGTAGGGATTCTATGAAATGCAATGGAGCTACTTGGTCTTTTAACAAACTTGTCCAGTTGTATCAGGAAATACACAGCTGAACTTTTGAACTTTTCTTGAGATCTCAAGTCCACCTAGAGTTCCTTGGCAGATAGTAGTTTCCTTCCCTTATTAACTTACCTTGTTTCTTTCTTGCCCATCAATCTTTTCCTCTCCCCTGCACTCCTGAAGGCATTGACTTCTTGCTTGGGCTACTGCCACATGGTCATTCTTTACCACCTGGTACCTTATCAAGGTGTACGTTATTCCTTGTAGTGGGTGTAGACAGGCTAGTTGATGTATGTTTTTATTGGACAATTACATAGTACTGTGTTAAATGTAAAGCACCAAAACTGTCCATTTGCCTCTCAGGTGATCAGTGTTTATGCACCTGAAGAATCTATTATAGTTCATCTCGTCCTGTCACTATGTTGTTCTATTCTGTTCTTCTTCATACACTTACCTAGATTCCACTTACATGCATCTATGCTATTCAATCCCATCCTCATACTCTCATTACTCTGAGTGAAGAAACTCCTGAATTATTTATTTATCTTACAAGTACTATCTTATATTTATGACCCCTAGCTTTGTATTCCCCAACAAATGGAAACACCTCTATGGTTATGATATAGAACCCCTTCATCATTTTAAAGACTTGATCAGGAGAAGGGAACGTAATCAATTTCTCACAATACATATATTAATGTAGCGTTCCTCCTGATCACCCTGATTCAGTCAACACCTAGAACTTTTTTTCCTGGTCTAGATGATCCTGTGACTCATTTGATGCACAACTCAAGCTACTGGGGAGGCCTTTAACTCTAAGTGTTGAATATTACTTGTTTTCTGGGATTGAGTTGGGAAATGGAAACCCATGAAGTGGTGAGGGAATGTGAGGAGTAGAGTGCCCACTAGTGGTGGGAAAGGTAGAAGAGACTTCTCCTTTCAACAGCTTTTTGAGTCACTGAATTGTTTAATACATAGTCTTTCCTTGTCTTCTCTAGCATATTACCAATGCCTGGGACAGTGGAGGGAATGTAACAGGCTTCCTAATGATTTGGTTTGATTTGATATTTTATTTGCTTTGATTTATTATTGCCATATGTACCTAAGTACAGTGACAAGTTTTGTTTGCATGCAGTACAGGCAGATCATACCATACAAAGTGCATGAGAGTAATTGAACAGAGTGAGGAATACAATGTTATGGTTGCAGAGAAGGTGCACAACGAGCAAGATCAATAATAAATTATTAGCTTCATGTGGGGCAATTACAGAATATTTCAACTTTGTTCTGAAACCAATCACAAGAATTGTTCCTTTAACTAAAGGATAGATACCAGTATTGATTTTATCCATGTACCTGGCAGCACGAACAGGGTAACAAAAGGACACATCCACCGCTGTATAAAGACCACACGCTGTTTGCTTTGAAATACTGACTGGTGCATAGGTATTGCCTTCAATCACTATTCCAAGTATTTGGGTGGATGAGAAGATGGATTTTATGAGGCTTTCCAAACATTGTGAAGTATTGTTGAATGTTATCACAAGTCAAAGATAGGATAATTGATCTCTGAAAATGGTATTGAGATGCATAATTCCATATAATAAGGCTGTGTGTCAAGAATGCAAACTTCAAAGGTTTACCCTTGCATGTCAGTAAAGTTATTGGAGTAGTCCTCATTTTGTTGGTCTGATTGATGCACAAGAAATAACGTAGAATTAGGATGAATTATAGATGGATGCATTACATTGAAATGGTGTTGAACTGTTAGCATTTGAGAAAAGGACTGTACACATTTATAGGATTCAAACATTTCTTCTTTCATCTTTTATTTTGCACAATATACAGCAAATTACATTTCAATTATATAAACTGATATTCTTTATCTCAATTTCTGGAGAAATGACTAACATTTGTTCAGGGTGGGTTGATTAGCCACAATAGGAATCATTGGTGATAAAGTCAACAGCACTCTAACCTCTCAATTATGCAAGTTATCTGCAATTATCAATAACAAAGTTTAATTATCAAAACTGAATTGTTTGCTGTCTGATTTATTCAAAACATTTACTGTCCAACTCTAATCTTGAAACTTCAGCTTGAAACCACAGCACTCCGCTGGCTTTCAGATGAAATCACAGCCATTTCTGAATATAGTGCAGTAAGGTTGAAGACTCCATCTCCCAGGCTATGCCAGGAGTTTTACTCTAGGCCTCAGTATCCATGGGTTAGGGAGGGAGAGATAATCAGATCTCCTGTTTCTGCTCTTGATCTTATCTGGCAAATTCTTCTGCAAATTTATGGTTTGTTAAGGCAGACAGGTGAGGGCTCACCAATAATGGCTCCCACAGTCAGGTAGACAACCCCTTCAAGTCTCACTCAGTAGTCACCAGTGCTGTTGTACCCTGACAAGAATTAGCACCTAAGGAAAGAAGGGGAGAAAATTGGAGGAAGCTCTAAACTATATCACTGGAAGAGATGTGCTGGTCAAGATGCTTTGCTGGAATATCTACAGCAATGTTCCTTTTTCAGTCTTGGCTCTGACCTCATTTTGCCTCGCTTCATTCTTTCTTCATAGTCATTACTGAGCTTGGCAGTTTTCTTAGAATAATGGAGCTGACCTAAACAATGCAAGAGATATCAAACAATAGAACTAGATCAAGGTCATACAACCAGCTTCAAATAAGTGATTTTTTTTTCTGTAATCAGTAAGCAATGTGCTCATCAGATCAGATTAAACAAGCAAAAAGAAACAAAACATAGTCAATTATCAAATGTATTCGTGCATAGTTTTGGCATAAAATGTTGTGGTACATGACATTGCACAACCCTCTTCTATCTATCTTCAAATATTGGAGTCAACAATCAAATATATTTTGTTGTTGCGCGTGCTTTTCCTTTCAATATGCTGACTCAGGTTTTGCTGAAACTACAAAATACATGGTGCATATTGTGCCCCAGGTCCATGTTTGCATCCTGTTAATCAAAGATTGTCTGTCTGATTTCTCAGGTTATTTATTTTTTAATTGAAACCTGAAAGTTAGACGCAGGCAAATCAGTTATAGTAGGAGAAATAAGGCTGTGTCCTTTGCCGAGGTGGTGGTGACTTTAATTGTTGGGAAATGGACAACATGGGGGTAATGCTTTTTTATCACCTCCACCCATTTTACTTCTGTTTGAAAGCCATAGTGAGTAATTCTGAGTGTCAAACCAGCATTTTTCCCAATCCTGGGGATTTCCAACCCTGTGAGGTAGGATAACTAATACTGCTCTGCTCTCACCATAGGGGACAAATTTAGGCAAAGGTCTGCAAAGAATTATAAATGTGCATCAACATCCTCAGTAACAAAATTTTAAACATGTGCTGAAGGGGAACAAAAGGATTGCATGACCAATTTTAATGTCATTTCCAACAACACCTCAATCAATTCAAATTGTTCGGCGCTAGAAATGAACAATATCAGTGGAGAAATATTTAAGGCTTCATCGTTTTCTTATTTCTTTACTGCAGGCATTAATCTGTTTATTTTCATTAGCTTGACACCTTGGTTGAAATAATTTAACAAAAAACAATGTGCTCTTTCCATTCCTTTGCTGACATCATTATCAGGAATTTCTAGGGATGCATATTTTTGGTTATCAATTCATTGATATCACAGCTAGATTGGTTCAAAGTTTCTGCAAGCATGCTTCCTTGTGCTTTTCTAAACTAATTGTGATTCAATATGCCTTTATTGGTCAGTATCTTGAGTAAAGAAGTTGGGAGGTCATATTGAGGCTGTACAGGATAATGGTTAGGCTACATTTGGAATACTGCGTGCAATTCTGGTCTCTCTGCTATAGGAAAGATGTT